GTTTAAAGTATTATGAACTGCCAAAAGAATAAACAAATCTATCTTGAAAATAGTACAGCCAGAATGCTCCTTAGAAGCAAGAATAGCGAGACTTTGTCTCTAGTATCTAGTATTTTAGACAAGATGTCAGGAGGGACCAGTTCCTGGAGAAAGATATCATGCTTGGCAAAGTGGAGCATCAGTGAAAAATAGGAAGATTCCCCCTTCCCCCTCCCTCCCCCGGTGTGATTGATTGATAAAGTGGCAGCAACAATGGGCTCAAACATAACAACTGTAAGGATGGCGCAGGAGTGGGCAGTGTTTTGTTCTGTTGTGTACATGGTTGCTTTGAGTCAGAACTGAGGAGACAGTATCTAGCAACAGCAACGTAAGTTGTTATCGGCAGATGCAGCCTTTAAAAAAAATGTTTGGCTGCTATTGCAGTTGAAAAATACTTTGCCATTTCACCTCCTTTTAAAAACTGTGTGTGTGTGTATGTGTGTTCAGTGAAATGCTAACAGCTACAGGTCAGAGAGAACTGCTCCCTAAGGTTTCCAAAGTTGTAAATCTTTAAGGAAGCAGCAATTCTCATCTTTCTCCCACAGAGCAGTAGGTTTGGAAGCCCAATCTGTAATCAACTGTACTGTCAGGACTCCCTTTTGTTGTTGTTAAGTGCCACTGAGTTGCTTCCAACTCATAGCTACACTGCATAGTGCTTCTGAGGCAGTAAATCTTTGCAGGAGCAGAAAGTCTCATCTTTCTCCCATGGAGCTCTTGGTGGTCTCCAACTGCTGGCCTTAGTGGCTTCCTTGTTGTTGTTGTTAAGTGTCGTCGAGTTGATTCTGATCCATAACGACCCTGTGTAGGGCTTCCAAGGAGCAGTTGGTGAGCTTGAACTGCCGACCTTGCATTTCATCCGGTTTGCAGTCTGGCGCATTAACCCACAGTGCTACACCAGGACTCCATAGTGGCTTCCTTAGTCAATGCCAATTTTCCCATCACCATAGACAAAAATTCACTACTTCCTGAGAGTGATTTCCTCTCTCCTTCCTCACTCCTAGAAGCCCTGGTGGTACAATGATTAAATCACTTGCCTGCTAAACAAAAGATGAGCAGTTCGAACCCACCAGCAGCTCCAAGAGGAAAAAGACCTGGCGATCTGCTCCCGCAAAGATTTACTGCCTCGGAAACCCTATGGAGCAGCTCTACTCTGTCTGCCAGGGTCAATTTGAATTCGTCCTGAAACCAGGATGGGCTACAAAAAAATAGAAAGTGATGAAGTGAAACAGCAAAGGTTTATTCAAGAAAGAGAACCTTCAGGGGAGACTGCCCAGATATGTCTATGCTCACAGCCTTTGGGAATTTTATAGGACTAAAAACTGGGGAACATGCAGGGCTTGTCTAAGCAGGTTCCTGGAATTGTTGACATCTTGTAGTTTTAGATGTTGCTTCCTGCCTGGCTCCTCATTTTTCTGGTTGGGTGCTCGTTTCTCATACATGTACACCAAGTCTAAGACCCTGGTTCAAGATCCAGGTCTAACTCTGAAGCACCAGATTGAGCTTAACAGCTGGACCAGATACGTTGTTCTGTTTGCCTACCCTGTGTGCTACTTATCTCCTACTCTGCTAGGGGCTTTGCTTTGCGAGCTCCAAGGGGCATAACAATTCTTGTTATTCACTAAAAAATAAGTGTTTTGCTAAGTTTCATTTCCTGCCCCACCTGTTTGTACCTGTCTCTAACAGTTCTATTTACAGTAACTGCCCCCTCCAGACTCTGTTAATCATTTGGCTTCTATATAATTACCTTCCTTATCATTTGATATAAGAGAGACCATGCAATATTTGTCCTTTTGTGATTTATTTCACTCAGCATGATGCCTTTGAGGTGCACCTTTGTTGTTACATGGGGAAAGGAAGAGCTCTTGTACTCATCTCTATTCCCCAAATTTACAATATTATAAGAATACTCTCAGAAATTTGTAAAAAATCTCTGGATTTCCTTATGTTTCTTATCCACATTCCAATTTTCTGTTACCTGAAAAACTGCCCTATTCACATAGCTAGCAAAAGGTTTCAAAACTCTATTTATGACGATGAAAATTTTTACAACCTGCTCCTGCTTTTCCTAGTGTTTTATTTTCTTAATCACTTAAAGGAGTCCTGGTGTGGCATTGCAGGTTAATGTGCTGAACAGCCAGGTCGGCTTGAACCTCCAGGTCAGTGGTTCAAGCTCACCTGCTGCTCCTAAGAAACCCTATACAGCATTGCTATGAGTTGGAACCAACGTGACAGTACTTAACAACAATCAGCCACAAGTTCTCTAAACAAATCAGAACTTTCATTTTTGCTTCTTTAAAACTGGGTCTGAGTGATTTTTCTCAGATTTGGTTTCTATATTGTAACAGCCTTTACTCTCAGAAGTCCACTTTGCCCTATATTCATTTGGACATTAAACTGCTTTGCAAATATTACCATGTTCTTTCTGTACTCCTTGATTGTCAGTTCCTCAAAGACAAATACCATGTTCTCCATCTCTTTTTTGTTTCCCCACTGAGTCTAGAAGATTGACTAAGACTGATTAGTGTGCAGTATCCTTCATGTGGTGGATGCTTAATATTTTTAAACAAAATGAAAATCCTGAATAAATCTGACAGTAGTGCTGCTCACGGCTGAGTGTGTCAACTCTTTCTAGGTTCCTCTCTGCCAAGCAACCATTTCCTAACATATCTATATGTCCCCAGATATTTCATGAAAGCCTTTTAATTCATTTTTCCTGCCTTAATTAGGGAAATACTGTTTACATGGTTTATACTGTTAACATGGTTTTTCCACCTGAAGAGTACCTTGTTGGTGTTGTTCTTATCTGTTGTGGAGTCAGTTCCGACTTATAGCAACCCTGCATAGGGTTTCTGAGGCTGTAAATCTTTGTGGGAGCAGAAAGCTTCATCTTTCTCCTGCGGAACAGCTGGTGGTTTCGAACTTCTGACCATTAGATTATCAGCCTGATTTGTAACCACCACTGCTATTCAAAAATTTGCTGTTTAAATTGAAGTTACTTTTTCCTTTGGTGATGGGGGTAAAGACTTCATTTTGGTTGTTTAACTTTCTTTTCTTCCCAACTCAACTTTCCAGTAAGATATAAAGCCCCTATAAGCATTTTCATATCTTTAAAAATGTTTGGGAGCCCTGGTGTGGCGCTGTGGTATAAGCACTGGACCACAAGTTGGTTTGAACTGCAAGGTCATAGGTTCAAATTAAAGCAGCCACTCCATAGAAATCCTATACAGGGTTGCTATGAGTCACAGCCGACTCTACTGCACTAAACAACAACAAGAAGGATGTTTGGAGGAGTGTTGTGGCTCTGTCCAAAAAACACTAGACTGCAAACAAAAAGGTTGGCACTTTGAAACTACCAGTGGCTCTGCAAAAAGATTCACAGCCTAGCAAACCCTATTCTGGGTCTCTCTGAGTCAGTATAGACTCTATGGCACTGAACAACAAACAGCAACTAAGATATTGGGGGGCAACAGGCTAACGAGTTACCATTTCACCTGACTGATGACTGTTTAAAGCTCTAAAAGTGTAACGAGTACATGAGATTTTAGTATTTTAACTAAGATATCGTTTCTTCACATCTTTATTCAATACAGTACCTCTTTTTTTCCCCCTAAACTATTATAATCTGTCAGACAAGCTTCTTTTATAACACCATTCTCCAGCATTATTTCAAGCCTGGTGTGGTGCTGTAGCATAAAGCACTGGATCACAAGGTCTCTTTGAACTGCAAGGTCAAGGGTCCAAACCCACCAGTGGCTCCAAGGAAACCCTGTACAGGGTAGCTATGAGTCAGAAACAAGGTCGCTATGAGTCAGAATGACTTGATGGCACTTAACAACAACATGATAAAGTCTCGGTATGGTGCTATAGGATAAACACTGGACTGCAAGGTTGTTTAAATTGCAAGGTCGGTGGTTCAAACTCAACCGCGCCTCTTTGGAAACCTATCGCTATAAATGGGAACCGATTCGATAACACTTAACAATTTTGAAAAACCTATACTGTATGCATCTAATTAGCGTACAAAGAGTCATATTTTATATTCATACATACATACATACATACATACATACATACATACATACATACACAAAGGAGCTCTGGTAGTGTAGTGGTTACAAATCGGGCTGCAAACCTTAAGGTCAGCAGTTCGAAATTACCAGAAATTACCAGCTGTTCCGGGGTAGAAAGATGAGGCTTTCTGTTCCCGTAAAGATTTACGACTCGAAAACCCTGTACAGGGTCGCTATGAGTCGGTTCCGACTCCACGGCACATAACCACAACCACCATACTCATAGAAGAGGAAAGAGCCCCACAAGGTCTGTAGTTCGAAATCTAATAGTCGCATCCACAAAACAGAGGCTTTCTGCTTTGGTAAACATTTACTGCCTTGGAAAATTTATGAAGGGTGCTGAGTTGGAATTTACTGGATGGCACCTTATAGCAACAATTGAGGAAAATTAGAGACAGTGACTTGCGCCAAGGTCACACAGCTTGGAAGGTCCCACAATGAAACGCACGACTACAGACTCCAGGACCATTTCCCATTCCCCACCAGTTCCACACAACTCAACTTCCCAAAATAAACTCTGGTTATGTCTGTAATGAAGGAGCTCTGGTAGTGTAGTGGATTATGAGCTGGGCTGCTAACCACAAGGTCAGCAATTCGAAACTACCTGCTGCTCCGCAGTAGAAAGATGAGACTTTCTAGTGGTCGCTACGAGTCAGAACCGACTGACTGAAGAACATCATCACCACCAAGTCAGTAATAACAGCGCGTGCGCAGATCACTAGTAGCCCAGAACCGCGAGGAAAGTTCGGGAAAAGAAGCTGAACTGCTTCCTAAACGCCATTCCTGGCGTCGGGTTAACGCGCAGGCGCACTTCTTCTGGATGCTGAAGGTCAGACTAAACAGGGCGGTACTCAGAACTGCGCCTGCGCGACTGCGCTCTTGGCCGCCAAGATGTCGTTCCCCAAGTACAAACCGTCGCGCCTGGCCACCCTACCCAGTACCCTCGACCTAGCCGAATACGACATATCTCCGGAGACCCGGCGGGCTCAAGCCGAGCGCCTGGCTATAAGGTCCCGGCTTAAACAGGAGTATCTGCTTCAGTTTAACGACCCCAAACGCCGAACGCTCATTGTGAGTGGGGGTCTGGCCGGGCGGGGATCTAGGGGCCCGAGTTCCGGCCGGCACCTCAGTAGACGGCCTGAGAGGCCCTGACCAGCCAAGAGCCCTAAGTAGGGGTTGGCCTCTGCCAGGCCCAGACAGTAGACCACCTCACTAGCCCTGTGACCTTGGGCACGGTGGTCAGAAGGGTGGGTGGGTTCTGGAGGCAAACCTGGCGAGGTTTGAGTCCTAGCTAGATCACTTCCTTCCTTCCTTCCTGGGGATGTTATTTACTTCTGATTAGCCTCCGCTTTCCTCTATGAAAATTGGGAATAACCTAGTGTTTCCTATCGTATGAATGTTGTCAGGATTCAATGGGATAAAGCATGTGATGGGTGGGCCTAGCACCGTGGCTGATTTGTAATTTGTAACTTTAAAAACTGTTTTTTACCTTTCAGTGCACAGCTTCATAACAAAAGTAAACCCTCCTGTTGGGAATATGGTGATTCTTCAACTGACATTTTTTTTTGAAGACCTGCAACTTGTTTTAGCTTTGGGTTTTGGAGTACAACCTTAGGGCATTACATATGGTCATCCATATGGACAATGTTGATTAACGCTCTGAACCTTAGATTCCTAACCTTTAGAATTGTTATTGGTGTTGTTAAGTGCTGTCATGTCGATTCCGACTCATTGCCACCCTGTATAGGCTTTCCGAGGCTGTAAATATTTACGGGAGCAGAAAGCGTCATCTTTCTCCTGCGGAACCACTTGTAGTTTCGAACTCATGACCTTGAGGTTAGCAGCCCGACTCGTTACCACTAATCCATCAAGCCTTCTCACCTTTACAATAGTAGATAAAATATTATTCATAGAATCATTGTGAGGTTAAATGAGATGGTCTATGTAAAATGTGCTTGGCACATAGTAGGTACTCAGTAAACTGATGTTAAATGCCACCCAGTAGTTTTGGACTTGTAGCTACACTGTGTAGGGTTTTTGGTGCTGTAAATCTTTGCGTGATCTTTCTCCCACAAAGCACTGGTGGGCTCAAACTGCCTGAACTTGTAGTTGGAAGTCCAGTATTTATTTTAGAGAGCCATCACAGGCTCCAGTAAACTGATTGTGTTGTTGTTGTTGTGTGCACTTGAGTCAGTTCGAACTCAGCGATCCTGTATAGGGTTTCCAAAGAGCTGCTGGTGGGTTTAAACTGCCAACCTTGTCCAGTGTTTCCTACAGCACCACACTAGGGCTCCAGTAAACTGATAGCTCTTATTATTTAACAAGTATGCTTTTTGTTAATTTATTTATGTGCAGAACTTTTTTATTAAGTTTTTTAAAAAAATAAAAGTCTTCCTAGTCCTGGTGTCGCACAGTAGGATAATGCACTGGACTGTGAGGTTGTTGTTGTTATGTGCCGTGGAGTCGGTTCCAACTTATAGCGACCCTGTACAGGGTTTCCAAGGCTGTAAATCTTTACAGGAGCAGAAAGCCTCATCTTTCTCCCGGGAACAGCTTGTAGTTTCCAACTGCTGACCTTGAGGTTAGCAGCCCGATTCATAACCACTACATAGGTGGTTCAAACTCAACAGCCACTTCTTGGAAACTCTATACAGGGTCGCTATGAGTCAGAACCAACCAACCACTTAACAACAATAGATGCACAGTATTTGTTGGAAGTTGAGGATTGAAGGAAAGTTACAATGTGCCAGGCAGCATGCTAAACCCTTTCTGAGTATTATTTTATTCAGATTTCATAACTATTCAGTGCTAACCTCTATTGTTAAGTGCTGTGGAGCCAATTCTAACACATAGTAACCCTGTATAGGATTTCTGAGGATCAGCTGGTGACTTTGAACTGCTGACTTTGTGGTTCAAACCGCCAACCTTGTGGTTCAAACCACCACTGCAGTAAAGTGCTTATCCTATAGCACCACACCAGGCCCCAATTTTACAGATGAGAAAACAACATGGAAAGAACAAGTAGCAAGTGAACCAGCAAAATTGGAATACTGTTCGTGGAACCTAAATCTTCTGCTTAGAACCATTTGGCTCTACTCTCCTCAGTAGTTTACTTGAGAAGAAAATGCGACAGACATTTATCCTGTACAGCTCATGGTTGGGTTTGATGTGCCAGATAGCATGATATTGGTGAAAAATAAGGTATTGGAGTCAGCAAGACCTAAGGCTCAAAACCTCGGAGCTTTAGTATTTTCCAGCTCTTGTGACCCAGGGTATATTCTCACGTGTAAAATAGAGGTAATAACACCTGCTACATTGCGTTGATAATGAAATGAGTGCCTGGCACTTACTCATTTACTGACCAATGAATATAAATTCCCTTGTTCAGTGGTTAAGAATAATTGAATCTTTGAGAGCCTGTTCTGTACCAGGTCCTTTAGATGATGAAGTAACAATGGGGGGAAAAAAAAGGGCTAAAATCCCTGTCCTCATAAAGCTTTTTTTTTTTTTCCCCAGTGGGGAAGACAATGAATGAGCAAATTGGAAAATTAAATGATTTAGTATATTAGGGAGTGATAAGTGACAAGAAGGAAAATAAAGCAGGGAGGGGGATTAGGAGTGTGTGTGTGTGTGTGTGTGTGTGTGTGTGTGTGCTGGAAAGGAGGAGCAGCTATAATTTTAGATAGGAGTGGCCAGTGGTAAGGAACAGCCTCTCTTGGAAAGGTGATATTTGAGTAAAAACCTGAAAGGCATGAGGTGAGGGAGCTAGCCATGTAGCTATCTGAATCAGAAAGGGAAGCAAGTACCAGGGTCCTTAGGAATGCCCCTGGTTAAGTTAAAAAACACTGAACAAGCCATTGTGGCTAAAGTGGAGGGAAGTAAGGACAGAGTAAGATTACACCACAGAGATATGTGGAGCTAGATCATACTGGATTTCATAAATCATTATAATACTTTTACTGAGTAGGAGCTCATAACCAATAACCAGTTGCCATTGAGTAGATTTCAACTGAGGAATCTCATGTGTCATAGTGGAACTGTTTGCATAAGGTTTGAAATGGCTAATTTTTCAGAAGTAGATCTTCAGTCCTGTCTTTCGAGGTACCTTTGGGTGCACACTAGCCATTTGCATCACCCAGAGACTCCTATGATCTGGATTTAAGATATCTCTGCTGTTTGATTGAGACAAGACAATGGGAAGTAAGGGAGAAACAGAGAGACAAGTTTGGACCTTAAGCTTCAGTAATCCAGCCAAGACATGTTGGTTGCTGCCTGTGGTGCTGTGGATTAATGCGCTGTACTGCAAAGTTGAGGTCGGCAGTTCAAACTCACCAGTTGCTCTTCAGAAACCCTACACAGGATTACTATGGGTCAGAACCGACTTGACAGCACTTTACATCAGGGTGGAGGAGTCCTGGTGTGGTGCTATAGGATAAGCACTGAACTGCTAACCACAAGGTTGGCAGTTCACACCCACAAGCCACTCCTTGGAAATCCTATACAGGATGGCTCTGAGTTGGCACCAACTTGACAGCACTTAGCAGCAACAAACCAGGGTAGAAACAATGGGAGTGGTGAGAAGTAGTCAAATCTCTGTAGGTACTGAAAGTAGATCTAGTTAGCCACATATGCTAGCAGATTGAATGTGGAGTATGAGAGAAAGTGAAGGATCAAGGATGGCTCAAAGGTGTTTGACCTGAGGAACTGGAAAGATGAAGTAGCCTTTTACTGAGATGGGAAGCATGTAAAAGGAGCAGGTATAGGGGTAAAGCAGAATATTAGGAAATTAGTTTGGGTATGTTTATTATATTTGAGATAGTCATTAACTAAACAAAGTATGAGTATTGAGAATGCTACTGGATCTAAACAAAATTTTTTTTAATTTAACAGTTTTAATTTACATAATCTGTTGTTGTTGTTAAGTGC